ATAACAGCACAAGGAAACAGTACTCCAGTGACAATTAAGACAATCCAAACAGTTTTAACTAAAAATAAAACGAACATTTCCTCTAGGCTATCTCATAATCACATGTCCGCTAAAAGTGATCAAAAAACAAACAACAGTTCAGACCTCCCTTTCACTCTCTAAAGGTGACGCTCGATAACAATCCGTACCTTAGCAACATAATTAAAAATTAAACTGAAAATAATGAGACATAAACAAAACAAACTTCAAGACGTTTCCTCCTGCATTCCGAAAAAAATTTAGCGAGTAATAAACTATAAAGCAAGCACTACATGAAACTCTGTATAGTTTACTAAAAATGTAGCCTGCGCAAGTTAACAAAAATGAGCGAGTATTTATCTCCGAATTCCATCAGCCGGAGGAAGTTGGGCTGGGTGGCTAGTTAGCTAGGGAGAAAGGCAACCAGCATCACAAGTGTGTACATGTCTAAACGTTGAAATCCTCGCCTATCCTGATCAAAATCGCAACGAGTTATTATTGTGGGCTAACCACTAATGGCGATAAGTAGAAAAATCGAAGGGCAACTGGAGAGCGACTCCCCGATTCTCGTCACGCTCCTTCCCAATATGTGATTGACGCTGTATCCAGTGTGAAGAAAATAAACCTATTATTAAATCGTGACCTTTTTCACACTGTTTAGACTTTTTTTAATATTGCTAGCAGCCGTGGCCTATTTCCTTGGCCTTCGTTTCTAACAATTTCTTCGTGATAAAAATGACTGAAATCATATCTAATAATATTGGCGCTAGTCCTTTTCCTCATGTTCCACCGATGGAAGTTACAAAAAACAAGTGACACGGTAGAGGGTACTAACAAACCCGGAAGATTACCATTCACTAATGTTTGGGACGTTATAAGCTATCACAGCGAAATCTAACACATAGCACAAAACCCAAAATAGCCAAATATCTTAATAAGATAATGCATACCTGTCTTGCAAATCTGGTCATCCTCATAGAAACCACTGCAATTCTTCTTTGCTGCAAAACGAATAAAAATAAAGATTTTTATTCAAAACAGAGTTACCTGTAAATATCTATTGGGTTTCCGTTTTATGAAAACAAAATCGATAGTTGCTAAAGTACAGTTCAAACTGTGCGAAATTTTGAAATTCTGATTCTCTTTGGAAAGAAAACACAAAGAAGAAGGTAAATGATGTGCAGGAGGTGAAATTCATTAGCCAAGTTGTATACATAAAGAAGAATACTGCCTTCATAATCGGACTTTTTTACTTCTCCACGACATCAAATTGGCACAGTATGCTGAAATGTAAGCTTTGACATAAGGTTGAGTCTATATTAAGTGGCACTGTACTAAGAGGTCACCCGCCATTAAACAGTCTGTAATCAAAGTCATGAATTTCTTGTGACCCTGTAAAAGACAACCTTAGACGCTAAAACAAACCAACATACAAGTAAAACGTATCAAAACGAAGACAAACAATTCAGCTGAGCCCATGTCCCTCTTCAAAATAGCCAGTCACCTCTCATACTCTTGGCTTACCGGGGATATTCTCTGCAACTTCAATTGAATCAACTTCGCCTAATTGCCCCTTTCTGACAGCTTCCTGAAGCATCGATGTTAATGCCTCTTGCCCCATAGGATTCTCGAATGAGAGACGGAAGTATATAATTATACTTCCCGGCCTGCGGAGGAAAAGCCAGAAATAAGAAATGGTAATCACGTAGTGCAGTACCTGAAGTACCCATCTCTTATGTCTAAAAGACAAAATATAAATATTGCTTCAGGACAATGTGATCTATCAATTGTTATAATATTTCAATTAATCAGAGCAGGCTTTAAGGTTAAGGTTGAAAGATATAGCGTTAATCCCTACCAAAATTCAAGTTTTATATTTCAAATACAACCTTCAAGTTGTGATTTGAATTTAACGCTTGACTGACTCAAAGCTCATGCGCGCGAAATGTTTACCTAACCAGTATGCTTTGCTAGTGTACACGGGACATTGGGGTCTGTCTGAGCACAAATGATGGAGAACAACCGTTCCCAATCCTCGGCTGAGATGACTGACCAATTTTCGAATAGGTAAGAATCCCGAATCGGACGGAATTCTTCGGTTTTATTCAAAAGTGCTGACGGGCCTGCAGGACTCCCAACGTTCACGAGCGATTTTAAATCTTTTCCCTTCAAAGTTTAGCTCTGACCAGGGTATCTGACAATGACTTTCCTTTGTACATGGTAATTGGGATGGCTCCATAAATATTACTCTTTAACACGGTTGGTTTTGAATAAGATGCCACGTCCCCATGAGCATCTTAAGGTTAGGTAAAGCCGGACGGTATAGTGTTACATAAGGCGATATTTTTTTTGTGAGCCATTTTCTTTGTTTGTAAGAGACCTTTCACTGCGGGAGAAAATAACTTCAGAGATACGTTTCTCAAAACCTCTATCTGGGTGTCCTCTATTCTTTAAGCGTATCGTGAAACTCTGTACGTCATTATTAAACGAGGAGCTTGACCAATAGCGCCGCGCACAGACTCTAAAATAGACTACGTCAGATCAGACCCCCGCGTGACTCAGACAAAACATTGCATATCGCTCAAAAGACGCGTATTTTAAACTCTGTACGTTTTTTATTTTATTTGGAGCGTGACCGATTTGTTCTTAGCCTCCAGGAGGCGTAGCGCTTAAGACGCTTCTCCTGTAATGAATCTTTCTTTTACGCTTGATGTTTGAACTTGGATTGACTGTAATAAGGTATGAATTTGAAAGCAAAAGAGGGTTTATGTTAATGAAAGTTCACTTCTGAATCCATCTGCAATCTGTAAACATAACGTTTAACAGAAAAACTTGAATGTTGATGATAAAACTTTAATTTCGGTAGGGATTTAACCCCATAGATAGATTCGAGTCGCTTACAGAATATGTACTCCTTAAAAACGGTAAAGACACGTTGAATCACTGGGAATTATTTAACCCTAACGAAACTCTTTTTCTAATTTCCAGTGAAGTGTGAAGTGTGCTCACACATTCTCAGCAGTACGTTAACTTATCATCCAACTGCACTCGGCAGACTTCAAATTATGTTCTACACTACTTCAAATATCCTGCGATATGGTGGAGTTGTTTATTTCATGTTGTCATGTTTATTTTGCTACTTTGGATCTTGCGAGATCATCCGCACCACAATTATCATCACGAAATACCTCGTTTGTTCGCGGGAGTTTAAGGGGCAAAGTGGAACAACAGATGATCCCAAAGAGCGGTGAGCACAAAACTCGAGTTTTAAGATAGCCGATATCTCTTCTGAATAAGGCTTTGAATGCTTCATTCCCATTTTGACAGACAAATTTTACTTAACCAGCCAATTCTGATAATTTAACGACAATTTGTTCTAAGAGAAGACGTATCCTGTGATAAAGGCGACGTTACCAACTTGTTAACTTTTTTCAAACGACAGATCACTAAAAGCTCGACCAAAACCTGGTCAGGAACCTCTGGATTCTTCTCTTACTCTTCTTCTAGGTGGTGGTAGAAGAGAAGAGGGGATTTGACCTTCCCTTCCAAGGGATGCTTAAAGTTCATCGACCGATCTTCTTCCTTCTAAAAGAACCCAAAAATCTACAAGGAATGCAAGTTTCTTGGAAGTTATCGCAGCATTTGGTCATAAAAGGGCTCCAACAAGCACGAGTTAAAAATTTTGCATACCTCAATATTGAAAGTACACAAGCCATCGAACCATTCGTGCATCACGATTTTAGACCTATCCTTTTAAAAAAATGAGAACGCCAGGCGTGCCCACCCATACAAATAGTTTTTTTCTAAACACTAAAACATCTGATAGGGAGAAGGGGTGGTAGAAAAATAAGTCTGTTTAGGAGGGGGAAGAGTCCAGTGTCCAGAGCACATAAGGTAAAAGTTCCTGTCAAACACCAAGGATAATACCTTTCATCAAATTTGGAGGCCTACTGATAAACATGCCTGAAAATGTCACACAACAGAAGAAGAAACAAACAAACAAATTTTTTCCTCGTTTTTGGCTAATTTCTTACCAAAACGGTTTGAGTTGTGGGACTTGGCATCTTAACAATTTTACTGGAAACGAAATAAGAAAGCCTGGACTATATGTATTTGACTCTTTCCCCCGGATTTTACCCAATCCAATCAAATGTCGACTATAAAATATCACTTCTAATCTCGGGAATTCTTTTTCGTGTAATGGAAGAAGTGCCTTTCTGAAAATCTTGATTTCGTGATTAAGCAAAAGCAACTCTGAATTAAGTAAAAGAATAATGACAGAGCCCCGAGGCTACAGAACCAAGTTTTGACATAAATATAGAGGGCCGTATTCAATACAAATAATAATAACATTCATGCCTCTATGTAGCGCATTCTCCATATGAATGCCCTAGTACGCTTTATAAACAAAGAAAATGTGAAAAGGTCTAGACTTCTTGAAAGACTGGAATCTATGGTACATATATCTTAACTGTATCATGCAGTGCAATTACTTTAAATTCAGAATTTATCTCATCTCAAATGAAAAATATTTGAAGGTCCTAGAAGGACCAACATTGTACAGACCTTTCGTTATACCAGTGACCGTGTGTGTGTGGGTGCGTGTGTGTGGCTGATGCTGTGGCTGATGCTGTGGCTGAGTAGGTTGTGGGTGCATCTGCAATGGTCGCATGCGCTTGCGGTTATGAAGAATATCAGAGGTCAACATCTCTCATGCTAATCACAGAACAGGTGAAAAATTTATCTTTATTGCATTTTCTGTTAAAAAGGGTTTTCACAGTAGAAAGGATTAACGTTGACATTTTTACTAAAGAAAGGGATACAATAAACTTACCTTAATTCAATTTTGTGAACTACATGTTTATGACATTCTGGAATCACTTTCTTGATCTAAAGTGGAGCAAAAACTCGTAATTATGAGACGAGACGCTCATTCTTAGAAAACAAAAAGTGTGGTTAAGAGTGCTTTTGGTAACTGGGGTTATCGAAAGCTGACAACAGAAAACTTAACATAACTCTCAAATTTTGATTGCTTTCTCCTTTTCATTACAATTTCTGCTATGTATGTCTCACCTTGTTTTTAAATTCCTCATCTTTGTTCCGGAATTCCTTACTGTTGTCGTCATTTAATTTCGCAGTGAGTTTCGAATTTTTTTCTCTTATCATGAAAGTAAATTCTGTGTTTAAATTACCTGAGAAGAATCACAAATAATACACAATATTAACACGTGTTGATCATCACTTGAATGAAATGGCCTTAGCTAAACACTCTCACAGAAGACTGGCATTCTTAAACTTTTTCCCGTACATGGAAAGTGTCGAAGCGGATTGGTCAAGCAAATGTCGGCGATTTCAACAATGAACAAATGACCGCCTAAGGATAGTCTAAAGTAGCCGAGCGACTAAACGGCGTGAAAAAGGCTAATCACCAGACCCCTTTGTTTAGGTCTTCCGCTGTTTAAAATGCTACGACTACTAGAGAAATAGTGCCCTAATCAGATTTTCATTCCTTGAAGGGTAAGTTCCATTTTACACTCGCTGTCAACAATTAACACAGAGTCAGTTATGTTAAATTTTGTTCATCAGTCGATTATAATACTTAAAATTACGTGTACATATCTAAGTTCTTAACTTACCAAAAACTCAA